CGGGGGGGGGGGCAGAGCCAGACCCGGCACCCAGGCCTGCCTGCTTCCCCTGCACAATGTGCTCCCTCTGCCACACCGCCCTACTCCTGCAAGGGGGTCCCTGAGCCCTCTGGCATGTGTTGCTCTGGGTATTGCCCTGCTGGGGTAGGATGCCAGGCGTGGGGTCCGTCCGGGAGCGGTCGTGTCCCTGAGCCTAGTCACAACTGGAGGGAGTGACAGAATGACCAGATCAGCCCTGTGGTGCTCCGTCGCAGCCCTGGAACCCTTCTGCCCGGATGGCCAGGCTCCTGTCTCCCTCAAACCCCAACGTGATGAACTCACCCAAGGTGCCCTGGGGACTTCTCTGAGGTGCTCGCCTTTCTTTTTCAGATGCCTTCAAGTACCCGGAACGCTACAGGTACCGTCTGTCTCTGCCCCTGTCTTGCTGTTGTGTCCAGTGGGAAAGGGGCAAACCTGTCGTAGGCGTTGAACGTCGGGCTCTGAGCAGCACAGCTGTGGCTCCGTTGACGGGTCTTGTCTGAACGCCACGGCAGGGACGAGAGCGTGGCTGGCGGGAGGCGGCAGAGACAGCCCCTGGGCTCCTACCCCCCCCCCCCCCCCCCCGCCCCCAGTGCACCAGCCACCCTGGGGCTTCCCCAGTGCAGACCCAGGAGGTGTGGGGGCTCCTCCAGCCCCGGGCATCCGGCAGGGACCTCTGCTGCTGGCCGCTACCCGTCTCCCCACGCCAGCAGCACCGCGCGAAGGTCCGGTGTCCTGGGAGACTGTGAGAGGCGGGCAGGGGTGCCTGACGGTCCTCGTTTTGAGGACAAGGCACGGTGCTGTCCCGTACTTGATGGGCTGCCCCGCACCTAGCACCCCGGCCACGGGAGGAGCTCGGACGCCACGGCTCCTGCTCCACACTCCCGGCAGCAGCCTGCCCTCCGCGAGGGCCCTCCTGACGGGAGGGCTATTTTGTCCCGCGTGCACGGCGCTCGTCAGCACGTGTTCTGTCTGCCCTGCAGGCCATAGCTTCCGGAGCGCGCCAGCCCGAGAGGCTGCGAAGCAGAGCGCCAGCCTCAAAGGGAGCAGGGGGCTGCGGCCCTGCCATGCCGAGTCCGGCCCGCAGGCGCCCCCACCAGCTCCGTGTGGTCCCCGGCCCAAGCCCAAGACTGTCTCCGAGCTGCTCCGGGAGAAGCGGCTGCGGGAGGCCCGGGCCAGGAAGGCCGCCCCGGGCGCCGCGGTCCTCCCACCCCAGCTGCTGCTCTCCTCCCCGCTGATTCTCCAGCCCCGTCTCCCGGTGGCCCCCCACGGCCCCTCGGCTTCGGGCCTGGCTGTCACAGCCTCGGGGCTCTCCCGGCCTAGCGCCCCTGCCGCGACAGAGCCGTGCACTTGGGGTTCTCGGGCCTCCGTCGAGGACGGAAGGCCCTCCACCCTGCCATTCTTGGCCGGCGCCCTGGCCTCCACAGAGGCTGCCCCTGCTGCCTCCGTGGTGCCGGTTCTGGGCCCCAGCCAGGTCCCCGTGAACTGCCGTCGAGGTGGCCCGGGCCAGTCTCCGGCCCCTGCCACCACCCAGAAGCAGGGCTTGCCAGAGGCACCACCCTTTCTCCCTGCAGTCCCCAGCCCCTCTCAGCTGCCCGTCCAGCCCATCTGCCCGACGCCAGCCGTGGGCACACACGAGCGGGGGCCACGGGTGGTGGCCAGCACCCCTCTGCCTGTCACCTGGGTGCTCACAGCCCAGGGGCTACTCCCCGTGTCCACCGTGGTGGGCCTTCCTGGGCCAGCAGGGACCTCTGACTCCAAGGGACTGTCAGTGGCTCTGTCGTCCTCCCTGCCTGGGACACAGATAGGCCAGGGTCCCGGGCTCCCCGGGCCGACCCACCCCTGGCAGACCCCCACCAGCCGGGACACAGACTCAGATCCCCCCTCCAAGACAGACCCACCGGGCCTTCCGATGCCCCACCAGTCTCAAGGTTCCATGGAGGTGGACAGAGACGGGGCCCACGGCCCGGCGGGGGGCTCCTTCCCTGGAGAGGCCCAAGTGGCCAGGGACACAGCCGTGTCTGGGGCACCCTCCCAAGCCACGCTCCTGGCTGACCACCCTGAAGCAAAGTCCCCCAGGCCCAGCCAGCCGCCTCTTCGAGGTGGCACCGGCCCTGGGAGTGGCCCAGGAGGGACAGCAGGGTCCGCCTTGAGACCAGAGAGACTCGGGAAGCCTCTGGGCCTGGAGAGGCCACCCCCACCCCGGCCTGGGCCTGAGAGGGGTGCCCTGGACTTGGACCTCGTGTCTCAGGAGGGTGAGGCGGTCGTGCGGGAATGGCTGAGGGGACGGCGTGGGGTGAGCGTGCCCCCGCTGGGGGGAGGGCTGCCTTACCAGCCCCCCGCCCTGTGCAGCCTGCGGGCCCTGTCTGCACTCTTGCTCCAGAAGGCGGCCTTGGAGCGCAGAGCCGCCTCCCTCGTGCCGGGGGGCGCCGGAGCCCTGCACGCCTCGCTGGGACAGGTACGGAGGTGGCTCCGGGACAGCCCGGCCTACCTGCTGCTCAAGGCGCGGTTCCTGGCGGCCTTCACCCTCCCCGCGCTCCTGGCCACCCTGTCCCCCGATGGCGTTCCCACCACCCTGTCCGTAGCCACGAGGGCTGACCCCGAGAGCGAGGACGACCTGGGCCTGGAGGAGTCGGAGCTCACTGATGGCTGCTCCACGACCGGTCCTCGGGCAGGGCCGGCGGCCGCCACCCCCATTCAGGTAGGTGGCCGTGGGCACGTAGCACCCACCCAGCCTCCCCGTGGCCGCTGTGGGTGCCCAGCCCACCCAGAACAGCGTGGGCAGGAGTGGGTGGGAGCCGTGGCCGACTGGTTGCTGAGGAGGAAGCTGGCTCTGGGCTCCGTCTGTGCGGACGTGGCCTCCCTTGAGGCCAGTGTGGAAAACGGGAGGGGAAGGAACCTCTCCACTCACGAAACCCCTCGGCCACCCCTGGGGCCGCTGGCCTGGTCACACAGCCCTGCCGGAGGGCTGAGCAGACGGGCTCAGGCTCCACGCACCGCGCACACCCACACGCGGACTCCTGCTGGCAGCCCTGCACGTCCGGGACCCCGAGGTCCTTCTCGCGGTCTGCTCTGGCGGCCTCGGCCTCAGAAGAGTCTTCCGAGCCGTGGAGGCAAAACCCCTTTTCCTGTTGCCTGACAAGAAGCCCGGTCTAAACACGCGGAGAGGTGTCTCCGCATCTTCTGTGGCAGAGCAGGAGAGCCGGGCCGCCTCGTTTGGTGCCGGATCAGGAAGACTGTGGGGTCCCTGCAGGTCGCGGGCCTCCCCAGCTGGAGCTCGCCTTTGCGCCGTCCAGACGGTGGGAGGCGGGGCTTGTGACTGGGGGCCGTGCGGAGAAGGACTCCTCGTTCCCCCGTCCTGCTTGCCGGCTCTCCAGGGCCGCCACCGTGACGCGGGGCTGGCTCCGTGGCATCGCTGGGAGGTTGGAGACGCCAAGGGGTGCGGGGCGGGAAGCCAGAGCCCCCGTGTGGCCCCTGCGCGTGGCCGTGTCCCCAGGCCCAGCCTGTAGCGTCTCACCGTCTGCAGGGACCGGTCTGGGGAGCTGCCTGTCCCTGGCGTCCGGAGTGTCAGGACCCCGCTTCTGCCCTGGCATACCCCTTGCTGCTGTCCCGGCTGGGGGTCACTCTTGTCCCCATCTGCCTGGGTTTTGTTTCAGGGAGCCCCAGACCCTGGGGAGAGCTCTGCCTCTTCCTGCCTAGACAGTTCTGACAACCTGGATGTGCTCAGAACCCGGCACTCCCGGCATGCCCGGAAGAGGAGGAGGCTGGTGTGAGCGGCAGGGTAAGTGCGTGGGGGTGGGGTGGGGTACGGGTAGCCCTGCACCCTGGAAGAGACAGGCCTTCCCCGCGGCCCTGCTCTGGGCGGGTGGAGCCAACGGCTTTCCAAAGGCAGGAAGGCTGGCCCTTAGGAGCTCACCTCCCAAGTGTGACGATGTTAGGTAAGTTTGGGGGGTGGGTGTGTTCAGGCATCTGGCGGCAGACCCAGGGTCGTAGAGGCCATCTTGGGAGGGGGCCATCTAATTCCCCTCCCCTGGCGACACCCCTCTCCCACTGGGTTCCACATGCTGGGCTCTGGTGCTTCCTTCTTGCCAGCTCACATGTGCCTCTGGGCCTTTGCACTGCTCTCCTTTCTGTATGTAAGCTTTGTTTCCTTCTTCCAATAGCGTCTGTTTAGTGGAGATGCCCTCCCTGCCTGTTGTCCTGGTGTCCCCACATTCTTGTGTCTTGATGGCACAGCCTGCTACATCTGATGTGGCCTATGCACGTATTTGCATAGCCTTACGAGCCCGTAAGGCTAGTAATGTGATTTTTGCGGGTGGGTCCCGAGTGCCCAGACGGCAGGTACCAAGTAGGCCCTCGGCACAGCTTAGTTGGGTTCGTGATGTGAACGCGTGATATGGGGGAGGATGTCCGGGTCAGCAGATCCCCAGAGGTAGGAGCCAGCTCCTCTGAGCACAGTGGGGGCTGTGCCCTGAGGTTCTGGGTCCTGGGGCAGGGCCTTCGGGTGCACAGAGGGGGTGCTGGCGGGGGCTGTCCCAGCCGAAGCCCACCCAGGCTCCAGGGCCTGCCCGCAGCATGCACCCCCACCCCAACCCCAGGGGACCGCAGGTGGGCGGCCGGCCTCACTCTGCCGTGCCCTCAAGGGAGGCGATGCTGTCACTTCCCCGTCCTACAGTGCCATCCCCGGGGTCTGGCTGCAGTCAGGGCATCCCCCCGATCAGGGCATTTTTGTGTTCCAGGAGGCGGGAGCCGTGCCGGACCCTGGTGAGCCCACCTGCCTGGAGAGCCCACCGCTGACCCTACGGGAGAGAGCAGCCAGAAGCAGCTGGAGGTTGGGGAAGGCTCTGCCAGCCGTGACCGTGAGGCCCCCGGGGGCTTGGCTGGTCCTGAACCACAGATCGGGATGTTTGAAGGAATAAAGTCAATGGCCTATTTTTTTTTTATTAAAAACCAGCCCCGGGCTCTTGTGGTCTTGCCCCGAGACTGGGCGTTATGCGGAAGGATGGGGCCTCCCTTGGCCGTGTGGGGAGCCGGCCGGCTGGGCCTGGGGTCTGAGGAGCCCTCAGTGTGTGTGTTGGGGTGGGGGGGATGGGGACTGCCATTTCCATGAGATGCGATCGTGGCCGTCGGGCAAGGGGCCTGCCACGAGCTCCCAGGCGGCTGCCGGCCCTGGTGCCGCCACAGGTCCTGATGTGGACCTGCTCCTCTGCCAGATGGGTGCCCAGGAGCAGCGGCAGCCTGGCTGCCCGCAGGTCACGCAGCGCCCCGGCCCAGCGCCACCTTCCTCCCAGGTGGCCGCTTCCTGGCAGGAGTCTAGGCCCCGGCACCGTCCCCATCTCTGAAGGACACGCAGCTTCTCCGGGGGCTCTGTTCCCCTTACACGTTGTGTCCCATGTCCGCGTGCACACCTCCCCCCCGGGCATCCCTGGTGCCCTGCCGGCGGCTGTCCCCCCGCGGGGCTCTGTGTGGCTGCTTTCAGTTTTTGGTTTGTGCCCAGTACTGTCTCAGCTGATTTCTACTTCTCCTTGGGACTTCTTTGACCTGGGGACTATCTAGAGGGTTCTTATTCAATTTTCACACACTTAGGGATTTTCCAGTTAGCTTTTTGTTACTGACGTCTAACTTAACTCGGATACAGAGAACGTGACATTTTTATTACTTAATTCTCACAAACCCCCGCCGTACAGGAAACGCCTTCCTCAGCCTCATGTTACAAAGTAGGGGAACGGGACCCATTCCCCGGGACCCAGGGCTGGCTGCTCCTGGAGGCCTCCCAGAGACCTGCAAGGAGAGGCCAGCTGCCTCGGTGCCCCACCTGCACCCCGCTCAGCAGCGTTGACTTGTGCCCGGACCCCTGAGGCTCGAGACAGGACAGGCAGGGAGCCGGTCGGGCGAGAGGCAGCTGCCTGGAGGAGGTGGGGCGGGAGCGCTGGTCAGGACCTGCCTTGCCTGTCCCGCCTCTCCTTAGCTGTTGCCTCAACCCGGCAGCCGGCATCTGGGTTCAACCAGTACGGCTGCACCGGTGAGGCGTTGGCCTGGGGGTTCCCGGCACAGCTGAGGGGTGGAGGCCACGGAGGGCCGGTGGCCCTGGCCACCGGCCCGGGCTCTGCTGGCTGGTCAACACCCCTTCTGACACCGGTTTGTGGGGTCATGGGGCGTGGCCTCGGGGTCCCGGAAGCCTGCCGTCAGTGCCACGTGTCGTGGCAGAAGTTGTGGAGTGGGGACACCCAGGAGGGGACTAGCTATAGCGCGGGCTGGCGGCCGTGTGGGGCAGGCAAGGCCCCCTCTTTGGACACTATGCTTCGGCCCTCCGGTGACGGAGACGCGTGCTGGCCCAGCACCCGGCTGAGATCCCAAGAGTCGGGCCCAGTACCCTCGGGTCTCCACCTGCACCTGGCCAGCCGCCCACACCGGTTTCCAGCCGGCCCCTTCTGGAGAAGCCTCTGGAAGCTTGCATCCAGGCCAGATCAGCCCAGCTGGCGAACCGGCCTCCTACAGCCTCGAGAGGGCCCTTGCCCACGCTTGGGTTTAGTGGTGCCAGGGCTGGGCCTCAGGCCCCAGCGGGACTTCCACTTCCCTGCGCCCCGCCTCCCGGGCCCTGCCAGGCGGGCGAATCAGAAGGCAGCCCCAGAGACCGGCTCCCTCGGGGAGGACCTGCTCGGGCTCCGTGGAGCTAACCAGCACCAGCAGGAAGTGCACAGCTTTCCTCCCGGGCTGCTGACGGCACCTCCTCCTGTCCGTCGGATCAGGGTGGCCTGGGCTGGCCAGCGTCCCACTGCACAGGTGCCCCTCAAGGACCCTGAGGTAGGTGGGTCTGCCTCCCTTTCTGAAGGAGGCCGGGAAGATGCCCGGCTCTGCTCAGGGTTCCTGGGGCAGGGAGCAGGGTCCTCAGACAAGGACCCCAGAAGGGCACCAAGTGCCCAGTCCCCCTTCAGAGCCGCCCGGAACCTGTTTGCTCATCACAGGGGGGCTCGCAGCAGGGGGCCAGGTGTGGCACCTGTGGATTTTAGGCAGGAAAGGCAGGGAGCGCTCAATGTCACAAGGGCCATCCCAAGTCGCCGTCTGTTTCTGGCTGGATAGGGTGACTGAGGGCCGCGGGAAATCAGAGAAGCTCCTCCAAAGACTCTGCCTGTTGCCACCTGCGTCTGGGGGCGGGATTCCCACACTGGCTGAGGGCTGCCTGGCGGCAGGTCAGGGCCTCTCTGAACCCACCACCCACCCAGAGGAGAGCACGACCACACGGCCGCCTCTGGTGTGGCCCAGGCCCGAAGGGAGTGGTTCCCGCCTGCCAACGGAAGGGAGCAGCGGTGGACGGTCCCAATGTGGATGGCCCCCTTGTCAGGCATGGCCAGGAGCGGGCCTCCGCCTCAGAGAGAGGAGCCCACAGGTGGCAGGTGCCCGGGACCTGGGAGCCTGCAGAGCGTGCCAGAGTGGCCTTGGGGCTGGCCCCTCTCCCGTGGGCGGTCCACACTCACCCTTCCCGTGCCCGCTGTTGCATCACCAGCCGGCCACCGGAAGGAGAGGAGGCGGTGGGGCTAGGCCTGAGCGGGCGCCACGTCTGGGAAGGAGGAAGTCCCGCACAGCACGGCCTGGCCCCAGCGCCTCCCTCCCCACACCTGCCCGTGAGCGGGGGTCACAGAGGCCAGAGCAGGGCATGGGGGTTGTGGGCCACCACCAGCCCCCAGAGCACCTCCACATCTCCCCCGACGATCGTCAGCACACTGTGGACAGAAAGCCCAGGAGCAGGGGGCGGGGGGCGGGGGGGG